GCTTGTCTAATAAAAATTAGAATTTTCAATAATTGTATTTGTCACCATGAGCTTTACAGTTTCTTAACGATTAAAGATTTTTCTGATGAGATACTTGATAATATTAATAAATGTGATTTTTTAAAATTTTGTATGATAAAATATATCAATATTAAAAAAAAAACTCAGTCCATCATTTTTTGCCAAATTCCCAATGTGTGATTATACAAAATCATGCATGTATAAAAGATTAACTCAAAGCAGAAGCTAGATCAATAGATTTTAATGCAAAAAATTATACTTTTATAATTTCATATTTCACAATTCAACTATCACTTAAGAAGATAGCATTTACCAATTTTTGTTGTAGTTTCAAGAATATGCACAATTATTTGAAAAAGTTATTAAAACACTGATTCCTTTTTCGACTATATCTGATGCTGGATTTTTAAAAACTATTTAATCAAAACAACATTGTGCAACAGATCGAATGCAGAAGCACGTGGCTATGCAAATATAAGATGAAGTTGATTTCAGAGTAAAAAAATTACTAAGGATAAAGAGGGATATTTCATAACATCAAAGGTATGAATTCAACAAAAGAGATACAGCAATTTTAAACATGTATGTACTTAACATCAAAGCTTCAAAATACATGAAGCAAAAGCTTATAGAGCTGTAATGAGAATTGGACAAATCCACAATTTCAGTAGATTTTGACCCATCTCTCTAAATAAGAGGTAGAACAAGTGATCAGAATTCAATATTTTAAAGTCTTGAACAACACTTGTAATGTTAACCTAACTGACCTAATTGACATATATAGGACACTCCACCCAACAACAGCAGAATCTAAATTCCTTTCAAGTGTATATTCACCTAAGATACTAATAAAAACTTTTTTTTTTTCCTTTTTGTCTTTTTTCGTGTCCGGCAATGGATCGCAACCCTNCACTGTAGCAGTGCGCCACCGGGCCGGCCCCTAATAAAAACTTTCATTAAACTTTTTTCATAAAAAGTTTTGCACATTGCTCTTGTGCTAAATAGATAATGGCCCTGAGTGATTTTAACTTCCTGTTAACTTTTAAAGCTTAAACATTTTTTATGGCTTTCTTTTCCAGGGGATGCAATTTGAAGAGGTTAGCATTGTCAGATTTAATTTAATTCACTTTGTTTTAAAATAGGGCTCTACAAAATAGACTAAGGAAGATTCTAGACTCCTGGGAAGAATTTCAGGGATGACAGAGTACCTTATGGCAGTTTTCCTCATGCACAAAATGTATTCGACAAATACACATTGAGTTTCTTTGTGCCAGGCAGTGTTTCATCACTGAGGAGGCAGAGATAAATAAGACATTATCTTCATCCTTAAGTCAGGTGGGAAAATGGACATGTAAACACATCATCATGACTCATTGCTGTCAACTGTAATGGATGCATGTGTAATGTCCTTTGAAAACAAAACAATGAAGAACATTTTTTGCTGGATAAGAGGGACATGGTATAAGTGACTTTTGGGAGAAGAGTATTATCTTCCAAAGTAATACATTGGACAGAAAGCTCTGGGAAGAATGTGTCATTTCATTTATTTGCTTCATTTTCAAAAGAGATAAAGTTCCTGAATGCCTTTAAAATGCCTGTTATTTTATGATACAAGAAGCCAGCATCCTTTCCTATCAGTTGCTTTTCTTGACCAAATCCTGGCTGAGTTGCATGCTGTAGGTGAGCCCAGGCCCCTGTTACCAGCCAACCATGTGCTCATTGGGACTGCTAATAACTATTCACAACCACTCTCTTTTCTGCCGACCTCCTCAAGTCAAAGTCAATGATTGACAGGCAGGAAAAAGAGTCCAAGGTGGGGCCAGTTTGCTGGTACAATTTGTGTTCCTGAGCCCCATGGAATCAGATCAAGTTAGTCTCCAGTTAAAACCAGCTTCCTCTAAGCTTTTAACTCTGGCACTTTCCAGCTTCCTCCATTCCTCTTCTCTCAAGAGCTCTTTTTGAAAAAAATAGTGTGAATAAGAATCCCTGTCTTGGGCTCTGCCACAGAAGAACTTGAACTAAACCACTGGCTCCTTAATATATGAGTAAAGATTTGTGATATTTAACCTATGCACATTCCTGCAGTTTATCCATTATACCTGTACTTTTGCTTCCTCTTTACATAAAAGGATATATCATTTTACCAACTTCATTACAGGCACACTGCAGACAATTTTATTATTTCTTTACACTTTTTAAAAATACCCTTGCTACTTCAATTTCACTAAATAGCATTCCTTCTCTCTCTAATAGTATCACTACCTTCCTTTAATTTTCAGCTCACTTTTTAGTATCCTTAATTCATCTCTTTTGTTTCTCACTCAAAATTGGTGAAATTATAAGGAGGAAAAACACATTTTCTGCTTCCCTTTTCTCTTTGATTTCAGAGCTTACCCTTAACACTAGTATTGGTCTTGTAATATGGTGAATGTTAAGTTTCTTGAACTAATTAAAAGAAATGAAGAGATCTAAAGTAATGGCATTATTATAATCTCTATTGCATTCATAATATAGCAACTAGAAAGAAGGCTCTATATTTTGTTATAATACTAGTAAAATAATTCACAAGATTTTCTGAATAAATTGTATTGCTGCCTCTAATGTGCATCATTTAAAAAGCTTATTTAATGAAATGATTATGAGGCTATAATTAAATTTTGCCCCCTCTATTTTTATAAACATTAAAAGCATTAGAATATGGAACAGTAACAAATTAAAAACAGAAACAAAATCCTGAACACAAATTGCAATCATGTATATTTCAAGCTAAATTTTTAATATTAGCTCATTAGTGAGAAGTGTCAACTCTAGTGTATCTAGAAATTTTCAGCGTGGTATGTGTTAGAATCCTACAAATAATATGAGTTTAGCTGCATAATAATTGAGAAGTCATATTTTTTTAAATCAAAAGGACAAAAAAGTTAAACAAAAATGTCAAGTTAAAATTATATATGTGTTAGAAAATAGCATGCCTTCCAAACCATCACTCTATGTCTTACCGGAAGTCAGAACCTGCTCTTCTACCATTTTCTGGAATACCAGGATCTGGACACATGTCAGAGACCAATGCGACACCTCCTTGACTCACTAGAATAGAGAGAAACATTATTAAAATGTTGTGAAGCTGTTGGATAAATACCCAGAGAGTAAAATTAATCTAGGCATATTCAGTATTATAATGATCATCACTTAAAATGTAATTTTTAAAAGAATTAAGACAGCTTAGCTGCATTAAAATAAATTCTTACTTTTATTCATGAAAATCAAAGACTTCTCTGTCAGTGAAAGAATGACACCATTCTTTGATTTGAACTCTCTCCTCTATTGAATAGGTAAAATTTTGATAAAAAATTTGTTTATTCTTACCACTTTTATGCTAGGTCACAACACGATGGAAAAAATAGCATCGTGATAAAAATGCCTACACTTTTGCAAAAGAAAGCCTTTATTCATTCTCATGGTTAAAAATGGAGATGATAATTACCTATAAAGATCTATACAAGGAATATTTAAAGTAAAATTACTTTTTATATTTTAAACACCGAATGTGCTTATCATTGAACTAAAAACCAATCTCTTTGTACCAGTATGCAGATTAATTTTCTGAGTCTGTTCCATGAAGAGCCTTTCCTCCTACTGGGATTTTTACCACCAAAAAATATTTTCTAGGGCCGGCCCAGTGGTGCACTGGATAGTGCGCCGCTTGGGAAGCGTGGTGGCGCTGCCGCCCGAGGGTTCGGATCCCACATACGGACCGGCTCCCGCTCACTGGCTGAGCGAGGCGCGGGAGCAACGCCGAGGTCTGCGATCCCGTTGCCGGTCCCTGGTCCGGTACGGGGTCAACACTGAGGGTTGCGATCCATTGCCGGACACGGAAAAAGACAAAAAAAAAAATATATATATTTTCTAAAGGACTCATTTGCTTATCTGATAGAGTGGATGCCACTTCAAC